ATTTTCTGAGATGTATAACAAGATCAAGAACAATAACAAGATCGTCAGTAATACATTGCTATTGAATGAAATGAACTTTTTAGCCCAATTACGACGCTGCTGACTAATTCTATCAACTCGACAGGGTGCTCTTGTCCGCGCAGATGCAAATCTGAGTTGGAATATAAAACGACTCGTCTCCATGCTGCGATGAACAAACGAAAGCTCGTTGACGGTACAATTTTCCCGAGTCTGTTCTCCTCGCTATTACTCCGTCAATAATATATCAACGTCTCTGTCGAGAACGTTCCGAGTCGTCGTGTATTAAAAAAAAAATTGCCCCGCCTCGTTCACCGACAGGTAACAAGTCAATACTCAAGGGCGGGTACAAGGAAAAATTCGCGAAAGAAAAGGAAAAGAAAAAAAGGAAAAAAGAAAAGGAAGAGGAAAACGTCGCGACATTTCGACGTTTTAACGTTACGGTTCACCTTTCGCGAGCGGTTAATTTCAATTTCAAATAATAAACGACAAAAGAGAGAGAGAGAGAAAGAGAGAGAGAGAGAGAGAGAGAGAGAGAGAGAGAGAGAGAGAGAGAGAGAGAGAGAGAGAGAACGAGCGGCCACCCGGATAAGGATCGGCCCAATTTATAAGCGTGTCCAGACTTCTCTTTCTTTTTTCTTTCACCGGACTGACGTACGTGCCGTTTGCTTTCAGAGCTTTCATATTCACGTCAATCCGACGAACAAGGAGCCATCGACGTTCTTACGCGCGTCATACGCGCGCCCGCGACACGAAGCGCGATGACGTTCCTTTTGTCAGCGGGAAGAAAGTGCGGATCTGTGCGGCGGACGTTACGCGATCGATCCGCTCTCGACGCGAACGCGACGGCCGATATAATATCGGTCGTAGAACGTTGAAAACGGCGAGCACCAGTTCGCCCGCTCGACGCGCGATGCGAATGAATAATGCATAAGGTGAGGAGAATAAGCGTGAAATATTTAGCCGGTGCGACAGAGGAAGAGAAACGCGGCGGATGAAGAAGCGAATGTTCGCGAACGAGTGTTCCCGCATTTTGTACGCCCGCTCGGGGCGGATATGCGATATTTCGAGCGAATCCGAGAAAATTGCGTCGGCAGAGACGAGAGTTCAGAAGCGTGAATGAGCGTTACGTTCCATCCGCGCGACTGCACGCGAGTTTCGAAAAAAACGCGTCGCGCTCGCTCGTCGTGGCGCGGATCAATGTTACTTCGTTAAAGACGACGATCGAGTGCAGTTCCTCGTCTCTCAAGGATGCTTCGATTTTAATATTTAAAGCTCGCTTTCGACCATTTATAAGTCGCGACAGAATTCGAGATAGAATTCTGCGCAGTGAAAAAGCGCTCGAGAGAGAGAGAGAGAGAGAGACGGGAATTATATTTAACGCGATGTATTTACTTTTAATATTTGAAGTGCAATTTGTACGATCCGTGTAGGTCGCGGTAAAAACCGAGATAGAATTTCGAACAGGCGAATCGGAATCGTATTTAATGCAATATTTGACTTTAATATTTGAAGTCCAATCTGGACGATCGCGAGGAAAATCCCAGGCGGAATTCTGCGCGCGGGAAAACAGCGGAGAAATCGGAATTATATTTAATGCAATGTTTGATATACACGCAACTCTCTCTCTCTCTCTCTCTCTGTTCCTCTTGCAAATCTCTGAATGATTTCCGCGCTCCTGCGTCGCGCGACGCGTATAATTATGAATAAAAATCTACCTCGCGTGTTTTCAGCGTTATTATAAATTATTTGCGCATTATAAACAGTCTAGAGGGCGTTTCGCGCGACGCGAGCGGATATTCATCCGCCTTTAATACGCTCCGCGCGACAAAGGCTATGTTTTGTTTTAATTACTTTCCTGTTTACGGAAAACTCGTGGCGCGCATTAATATTCCGTCTTGGAGGACGCGACGAGCGCACAAAGCGACGGAGAATTCACTTTTAGCTTCGTGGTGGCGATTAAAGAGGAGACCGGCGGCGGCGGGAAGCGTCGCCGGCTAATTTCTTCGCGGCTGAAAACTACGGCGATTCCGCGAAGAGATCAGTTTTAGCGGCGTTAACGCCGCCAACCGCGGGACGCGATATCGCGTCATAATCGATGCGTCAATTTCAGCCCCTTAATTAGAGACGTTGTTTCGGGCTTTATCGCGCGGCTGTTCTCTCGCGAGTCGCCCATCCGACACCCCGCATATTTGCTTCCATTTCCCTGCCGACAGCAGGCGCGAAAGGAGTCCCGGTTAATTGAACGCCCACGCGGAACTGCACGTGGCATTGCTACGTACGTCAGAATGAGGACGAAAAAGGCGCGCTCCATTCAGAAAGTTCCACGGAGAAAGTAAAACCCCGAGCGGAAGCGCGGGGAGGAGCGAACGAGGAGACGCGAGTCTCGGGCAGCGGAGTGAGCGGCGAATGGTCTGTTTATTCGTAGCATTTCAATAACCGATATTCCTCTCCCTCGCCTCTCTCCCTCGAGTAGAAACTTAATTAGCGTGTTGAAGCCCGACGGAGGCTGCTTGAGGATGAAACCTCGGAGGAACATCCCGCGAGATCAAAGGCCCGGACGAACGCGCGCTGTCAGAAGAGACCGAGAGAGCGAGAGCGAGAGCGAGAGCGAGAGGAGAGCGAGAGCGAGAGCGAGAGCGAGAGGAGAGGAGAGGATGGGGGGAGAGAAAGAGTAACGCTCGTTCTCTCAGTCGCACTTACTTACCGAAAAGCGCGCGCGCAGCGCAATGGAAGCACACGTCGAACCGCGCGATAAATATTCCGCGCGCACGGAGGAATATTCATATCTCGCGCGCCCGGAGGAATATTCATATTCGCAGGACGAACGAGAAAAGTTTCGCGCCGGGAACGAGATTCCCGGGAAAAGCTGATCGCATGTCAGGAGCTAGTCAGCTTTTGTTCTCTTCGGGCTTTGCCAGACAGCGGCCGTTGAGCAACCCGGGCGCGAATATTACCGTGGGGAATCTTCATCGCCGACATTTATATGCGAAAATACCAACATTACATGTGAAATAATCACCGCGATTGCCGTGATTATGTAATAACTGAACTTAGAAAGTGGTCAGGAATCGCCCGCTGTGGTAAGAAATAAATTAACGAATTAATGATATGCATATTAAGTCGAGCGCGCGTAAAGTTGATTTAGTCGCAGCACTCGAGACCTCAAATGTGTTGTATTCTTCCAGTCCGTGGAAAGATTTCACATATTGCCTCAGAAACGCCGCTCAGAGCGACGTAATAGTTCACAGGAGTCAGAGAGAGCAACCGCGCATGTTCTAACGAGTAGACACTCGATATTAATTATAAACTCCCAAGAAGCAACCGCTCGAATTATCGCCATCAACGGCGTGTAATGTAAATTATGATAATCCAGCCTTTACGGTGGTAACTTTCAATTTCGCTCGAAACTTGTCATCGAATCTAGAGCAGGGGCACGCACGTTTAAGACAAACGCGGGCGCATATCAGCCGATTTGATATTAAGATCTCATTAAGGGTCACGCGATTGTCGCTAATTGTGTGACGTTCGCCTCATTCCGTCTGTATTATTATGCTCATTTGCTCTACATCTCGCTCGCGAAAGTCAGCTTTTCAGCGGCAAAGGGGAGGGCGGCTTGCCCGCAGCCCCCGGGCGAGGGTGAGGTCTCCTCGACAAAGGCGCGTCGCGGGGAAACAAAGTAAACATCGCGCTCGTCAGCTGTGCGATAATTACCGCGCTAAACCGCCGCGGCGCGGCGGCACATAAAGTCGCCATTTTCGCTGTCGCTGGCAAGAAAGAGAAAGAGAGAGAGAGAGAGAGAGAGAGCAGATTGCGCGACTCGCGCTGTCGACCTCGCCCGTGGAAATTGGAAATCCCGCGGCCGACTAACGACCAGCGCGGAAATTGCGCTGCGGGAGAGCGCGTCGAGCATCGATCGAGCGCGAGACGATGCCTCGTCTCTGTCCGAGCGCTAAGTGGCCATTACGGGCGCGGATGAACGCCGACGGTTTAGCGGCTTGTCACACCTCGACTTGTCTCGCGCAATATTTCGACTACGAGCTTCGACTGCCAACGACGGATCAGCCCCCGCTCTTACCGCGCCGCGCGGCGCAGCTTCGGTCTTAGCTCAGTTGCGTCGCCGAGTAATCGAATAATATCGCTCGAGATATCGTCAAAACTGAACGGACGCTGCTGCGTCCGTGTCGGGGGATGGATGAGAGGGGGGAGCGTATGACACTCGCGTGAGATTTATTCGCAACCACCGACGAGAGGAAGTTGATCGACCCGCCGCGGCTCAACGCTGAGAGAGAAGCGAGCGCTTCGATGTGCGCGGCGATTGGGATCGATCGCGCGAGTCCGCTTCTTCGCTGCGCGTCGAGCCCCGCCGCGCGGTGCGTACGTAATTAATTCCGCACTCGGTGACGACGCGCGAAAACGCATCTCGGGACGATGCGTTTGAGGAGCGAGCGCGCTCGGCAGAGACGCAGAGAGGAGAAACGAATTTTTTTTACGAAAGCCTCGACGAGCGAGGAGAACTCGGAAATCCGAGGAGAGAGCTCTTTTAATTTCCGCCTCTCTCTCTCTCTCTCTCTCTCTCCCCCTCTCTCTCTCTCTCTCTCTTTCTCTCCCACACGCTTCTCTCTTTACATCCCGCGCTATTGTAGCGACCGTCCGCCGGGAATTTATTCCAGGATATGCGAAATTTGCTCGGGCTGGTCCGCGAGACCGCAGCGAATCGGATTCGCGTTCGCATGACTTCTCCGTAAAATCATTTGAATAACGCATTCGCAGAGCCTGGCCTCTGGATACCAAGCCTTGATATCTTGCGTATGCGCGGATATAACGTGACCTCTTTGAGACTCGTAAGATGTACGAGAAATCGAGCGTTCAGAGAACATTTACGTGACAGAGAGAACATATAGGGGGGGGGGAGGGGGAGAGAGAGAGAGAGAGAGAGAACAGGGGGATAATGGGGAAGATATAAGCGGATAAAGCCATACCTTGAGGGATGCCATGTCGGACACGGATCGATGCGTCTGAATGGTCTCCAACTGATCCAAGCACCAGTCTAGCTCCTCTATCGTCTCCACAGCCAGTTTCATGAAGGGCTCCTCTGCAAACGGCAGGAAGGGCAAATTTAATACTATAAAAGCATGCTCGCAGGGCGCCGAGCAATAAGTCAACGCGAAGAGATTTCAAATCGCCGGGGGAACGGCTACCGCGGCCGTTAGAATTTAGCTCTTCGAAACCGCGAAAGCGCGTCCCCGGTTATTTATTCTCCGCGTGATCTCCAAGCCCGCTCCAAGATTCTTTGGAAATTTTATCAGACGTTATGAACACGCATACTTCGCGAGAGGAGAAAGGGGGCTTTCATTCTTCTCTCATGCTTTACGGGCACGTCGACAGATTACTCGCGCGTACTCGCTCGCGTCTTCGCTGTCAGGCCCTCGTGGGGCGGCTGAAAAATTCCAGACCGCGGGCAACAAAAGGGACGCGCCCGCGAGGGCGTAGGGCGAAACTCGGGAGGACGCACGCGAATATCCGAAGGTCGCGATAACAAGTAAGTTCTCCAACGAAAGAACATGACCCAGAATGCAAAATCGCCGTCGCGAGGGAAGTCGACGCGGCGCCGCGTGGAGACTCGAAGTCGCCTTCGGGCTTCGTGCAAGTTCAACAAAACGACAAACGGGGATGAGATGCCGCGCGTAGGGGTGTATATGTGGACGCGGGGTGTTTATGCGAGGAGAATCCCCGAATCCGGACGGGCGGAAATGACTCAATCGCGATGGTAACGAAGGTTTGATGGAACGAAGCTTCAATCCACACGGCGCGCCGAACACGACGCGATTGAAAACATTCACAGAGATCGCAAGCAAGTAATGAACGGAAGCGCGCGTTGAATCCCGGCGAAATGAAGGCGAATCGCGCTGAGGTTGCAAATTCGCCACGACGTGTCATTCTCGCTTTCGCATCGCGACGCGACCACACCCTTACCTCCTGGCGCCAAAATCCGCGGCTGTGGCGTACTGCTGCCCTGTTGGCCACTGCTCCTCCGCGACCTGCGACAGATCCAAGAGAGGATTAGATGTCGAGCTACGCGGAACGACCACGCGCACCGTCTCGTCATGTATGCATCTCGCGGCATTCCTTACGTCGGGAACTACGCGACGGGAATCAAGACGCGCGCAAGATCGACTTCGTCGTATCGGGCGAGTGCGAAAGTTTCGTGGTGGAAAATCGGCCGAGTAATTTCCGTGTAAACTATATCCTTCCGCCGAGCTACTGTCCTCTATCATCCAACGAGTATTATACCGGGTGTCTGAGGATCACTCCCTTTCTTTCAAAAACCAAGTATTTTGGAGAGAAAGGTTTTAGACAAAGATTGCATGTTTCAACGGGGAACATAAAACATGTATCGGTTTGTTTACAGATGGCGCCACTTTCGAGATATTCACCGATCATTACTTTTCTTAAGCGGGAACCCCAATTTTTTATTATATCATCTATTTCTACCGACTAATTTGGACGACCTTGTCTGAAACATTTTTTTATTTGTCTAAGTATGAGGAAAACTTGGTAACTTCTTCAATATTTGACTTACGATATCTCGCTAACTATTTGTCGGATGAAAAAATAGTGCTGGACTGTTTTACTCTACTTGGTCTCAGGAATATATTGTTACAGTAGCGCCTGACTTTTGTTAATTTCATGTGATTTTGAAATTTCCAAAAGTCGATAAGTGGTGAGTCTCACAGGCACTCAGTACAAATACATATTTGAATTACCATAAAACTGGATCAGTCACGACATCTTTGACGAACCTGTCGAAATTTTCGCATCCGCTCGAGATAAGCAATGCCGTTATAACTTGATTAGCGTAGCTAGGAGTTACTACCGATACAACTGACATGAGATTCTGTTCTAGCCCGAGGGGATGCCAGAATGGACGACGAATTCCGCAAGTACCGATAGATAACCGATAGATAAAGGTAACGATAAATGTCGATAACCAAATATTATGTTAAATAAGCACCACGATATCTCTGATAAACATACGATCGTGCCAGCCTTTTTGTATTTCTTGCGCTTCAGCGCGGACCTGATATAAATATCGTGCTTTATCATATTCAGCATATGGAAAAGTTAACCGCGCATATATACGGCAATCTTTCTGCAAGCTTCCCGTATATTTTTAGGCTTGTAAATCCAGTTTTAAAAGCGCAGCTATGCTCTTTGAAATTCACCTCAGTGGAGCAAACATACTTTCGGTACGTAAAAGCTACGGGGAACTTTTGTATCAAGCAAATCCTTACTCTCTAAATGGCAGCTCGAGATGTCAATTTTGAAACTGCTTGCCCTCACATGTCGAGCAACACTCCGCATTTTGCGCTCCGCTCTTTCAGCGTGAGTCGTAAACGTATTTGTAATCCTGTTCCAACCAACATGACGTAAAGTTTGCGCAAGAAAGTCGGCATCCTTTCGATAAAATTTTCAACTACGGTATTACTGTAAGCCTTCCTTTTGTGGGATATTCTCTGGACAATTCCCGAACATGAAGTTTAACGAACCGAGAAGTTACAAACTGCCGGACTTACCGGAAAGGTAACTTCTAAAAGGATAAGAAGATCAAGAAAGGAGGGAGAGTGATATTGTTGCAAAAGTGAAAAACACATACATCGTACGACCATTTTGTCGCACGAAGCAGAGCCGAAGACACTGCGATCGCAAAACTTACAAAAAAAAAAAAAAAAAAAAAAAAAAAAAAAAAAAAAAAAAAAAAAAAAAAAAGAGAACAAAATTATTAGCACGATTTTTAGCCTCACGCGTTGCGAGCGCGCGAGGTAGAAAATCGCGCGACTCGCTTAGCCGAGAAACGACGCGGCATACATGACGCTGACCGCATCTACCGAGGAAGGAATACGAAAATCTACTTACTTGTTCGTCGGCACATTCGTGAGCGACAGGAAATTGTTCCTGACCGAGCGCAGAGAAGCAAGAATCTGTGCGAAGGGTGTAACGATGAGGTCCTCGCCATGGCTGCAATCGAAAAAGAGGCGCATTTAATCAGCGGCATCTCGCATCACCCGCGCATAATCGGAAGAGCAAGGATCAACGCAGCTACGCAGCTACGAGGACTTTGGCCGAAAAACCAGCGCGTCTACTTTGCCTTTTGTAAGCCGCATGCAGGCGTGACAGCACGATAACATTACAAACGTGACTCTCCCACTATGCCTCCTCACTCATACTGACACGTTAAATACGTATATGCTACACATACACACGCACACTCGCGCGCTCTTGACGCATTTCGTCGTGAACACGCAAAGAAAGTCGTGTAGTGGAAGAGAACAAACGTCTCCACACGCGCACACACACACACACACACACGCATACACACACGCACGCACTCTCAAAGTCCGTCGACGTCCGTCGAATGTGAAGAAAGAAAAGCAGCTCTAATTCGACAAATCTTTATATTTCTCTGCGTCAGGGGAGGGGGGAGGTGGGAAGCGAGCTATACCTCGTTTCACGTCACATTGGCGCTCGAATAAACTGTCGATACTCGAAAGATCAAGGAAACCCCCCCTCCGGGGGGGTGAAAACGTGAACGGAGCTGCCCGCTCATTCACTCGGCAGCGACCTCGCGCGCAGCTTCTCGCACGTTCAATTCCACGAGTGACGGTGGATACTTTTTTCCGCACCGCGGCGGGAAAGAAGGAGAGCGGATACACAAGCGATCAGAGCGTCCGCGGCGGAAAATGGCGACAGGATCCGGCGCTCGTGATGAAAGAACGTGCACCTCCACGCACCAATTTCTGCTCTATCGTTATCGGCCGCCCATAAAACAAAGCCTTCTGGACTATCTCGCCCCGCAGCTTCAGCCAAACTGGTGTCCCCAACGCCAGTCAGCGTCCGCCATGTGTCACGTCGACTTATCGCGACGCCTCTTGCGCGCCTATCAGCCTTTCCGTTCCCACGGGCATCCCACAGCCGGCTGCGGAACATCCGGGCCGCTTCCCCGGGTACTCGTCCGCCATTTGTCTCGCCCGCAGTCTGCGATCCGCGACAAAGTCCTGCGGACGAAGCGCGGACCCTTCGAGTTCTTTGTCGAATTTGTGTAACGTTGTCGTCACCGCTGACCTTTTTCTCGTCTTTTGACGGCGGCAGGTACGATCTCATTCGCCCCGGTCTCTCGTTTTCGTCACCTGTTGACTTACGCGGCAACCTCGAGTATTCCGTCCTCGTTTAGTTTTAAAGCGCTCGCCAGCGCTCCAAGGGTTAACCTTTGAGCAGCTATGGGGGCATGCCGGAACATGCGTCCGGCAAATGTCATCGGCGTGGACTGTGAAGGTGTCTGACGAAGTCTGTCAGCTTGCGCTCGCTCGTTATCGACCGTCGCGATAAGCATTCGTCTACGCGTGTTGCTTCGCGCTTTTCATCGGAAGCAATGGCCGCGTTCAGCGGCAAAAGCTGCTTACCAAACGCTTAGTGATTATTATCTATGATTGAAGTATTCCTTTAGATCTTTAACAAATCCAGGGGAATGAACCAATCAAAAACGATAGTCACTAAGCGCTTAGTAAGCAGCTGTCTCTGCTGAACGCGGCCATTAAGTGAAATTTCGCCCCCCCCCCTCCCACCATTGTGCTTTCAATCTTTCTTCTCTCTCCTTTCTGCTGCCGATTGATTTACTACGGTCCAAAGTATGCCGTATCCTCGTTCGTTCAGCTCTTGAGTGCTTCGCACTCAAAGGGTTAACCTTTCGAGTGCTGCGGAGGCGTATAAGCGCCCGGCGAATATCTCACCCCGTGGTGGACTGTGGACACACATGGGCGTCCGACGAATTTCGTCAACACCGTGTGTGCGACGAGGAGCTTTATACTAACAATAATAATAACTTTTACTCACGGGAAATACCCTTTTGTGCACGCGTAAAAATAGTCATTGTCGCAGACAGACCAACGAAAAGAAAAGAAAAAAAAAGAAAAAAAACCAGAGATAAACCGAACGGTAATATCCAAAAATCCAAGTCACCGCTCGCAACAGAGAACACTCGAATAAGCGGGTGGAAGAGAAATCCCCGGGGAGAAACTGAGAATAAATTCACTTTAACGAGATTCCAATCACCAACTGGGCAATACCTGTTCCTCTCGCGTGTTCGAACCGCGGCAACAAATGAGTCTCCCCCCCCCGTCCGTCTTGACCCGCCGTGCTTTTCGGCTTTTCAAGAAACAATTCCCCCCCTCCTCCTCTCCCCCCATCGACCGACGCGACCGCTCAGCTCCGGAGTGCCCCGGCCCTCAAAGGGTTAGCGACGATCCAACAGTTGACGTGACAAACAACATTTATTTCGCCGGCAACACGCGCCGACATGGCGTGCACGCGCGGGCATATGTGCATGTGCTCTGTAATCACGCGATAAGCGAGATTACAGAGAGGATTTCCCCGTCGGATAGGTCTTCTCCGGATCAAGCCCGCATGGAGTCGCCGCGAGCGGTTAATTCGCGATATCTCCCGGCGACAAGGACGCTTTAATAACTACAACGTGTTATCTGTTGTGCGCGTATGTGTACGCAGGATTCCGTCGAGCGCTCGTATTTCCCGTAATCCGCCGCGCGCCGACAAGAAGGACGAAAGCGAGAGGGCACTCCCCCTCGTCCTGCGCCGCTACGCGCAGCTGCGCCCTGAAACGCGCGCTGACAGCACTAATAATACCGTTTTCACGTTCCGATATAGTTTTAGTTCTTTTTTTTTTTTTTTTTGAAAATAGTTTCTACGGAATCGCTGACTGCCGGCTGAGACGACACACTTTATCCTGGGATAGTGCAAGTTTAGCAACGTGTATGGCTGTCGACTTACGGATATGTCGGATTTGCATAAATAAGAAAGATGAAAAGTATCAGTTGTAAAATGTACGATAATTGACAAAAGTGAAAATGAAATATACGAAATATTTTCCCCATCGTCTGCGATGATATGAACCTCAAAGATAACCTTCGATAAAATGCGCGATTCCACGGAAATTTTGCGAAAATTTCTTGCGTTGCGAAATTTGCGAAATTTTGTGCACCTTCTTCGAGTCAAATTGGCCACGATTCCAAATTTACTTTCAATCTTTACATTCAGCGCTGCTGACTATTTACGGACAATTTTCGAACGATTGACACGCTGATTTCAGCAGCATCATGTTGGAATGTAACCACCGTTGCTTTGTTTCAGCAACGTGCCTCGCTACACGCGTTATCGATCCCTCACTTTCCCGCGGAAGAACCGCTGGCGATTCGCCGCGGACTCGGCTAGCGTTTCGCTTCTCCTCCACTTCGCGTCTCGCGCACAAAACACGTCGTCGACGAAATTGCGAGCGCGCCGCTGGAAAATGAGGAAGAATGAAACTCGAGTATACGTACGACGTAATCATCAACGTGCGCAACATCGTTACTCGTGCCCCTTCGGCCCTCTACCTCGCCCATTTTGCGCGCGCGACAACCAGGGGTGGAGGGTGGGGAGGGCAATTGCGCCGTCGAGAAAAATAGCGGCGGACGCTCTCGTGGAATTGAGTCACTTCGGCAGGGTTACCCACTTAATCGCCCCGCTACGGATCACCCTCGACGGAGGGGGAGACCTTCGCCGAAGGGCGGGCGTGTAAACACCGCCATCAAACGATTACAATCAACGTTGTTTGTGCCGGATAACGCGTGGAACGCGCCGCGGTCGCGTCGCAAGGCGAATTAACAGCGAAACGCAATGCGGACCGCCTTAATTTCCGCCTCGCCCTCGCGTCGAAATTGAGTCTCATTTTGTTCATCACGGCTCGGCCGAGACGCGAGTCGTGCGCAGCGGCACACAACGGGTCGCGATAAATTCGCGCTCGGGTATTCCCCGATGCAAAAGCGTCTCGAAGATTGGAAACGTCGTGAGAAAAAATCCCGGGCGAGCGATTACGACAGGCGCGTTATCGTGACGCGCCAATGACGATATATGACGATATGAGAGAAAAGTATATCTGGATATTTGGAACTATAATGATATAGTAACTAAATTATAGTCCGAAATATCATATTTGTAACAAGTGTTACCATAATATCGATAATAATAACGATATAGGCATAGCGTAACCAACCGTATAATATTTTTACGAAGAATTATAGCAAGTTAAAGTAAAATTATTATACGGATACAGATATAAAATGGTAGGTAACTCTTTTATATAGTCAATATTACCAGAATATTTGCTAAACGATGACAGATGTAACTATACGAATATTAAATCTCACTATATTTATGTGCGAGAAATTACCATATATGTGGTAAAAGTAACTAAACAACCATTTAAGACAATCATTGACTATATATTTGTGTTTATTCTACTATATTTTGCAAGTTCCACGAACTATATAAAAATATGGTTGACGCCTAAATGAACTACAAAATATAGTGAGATTATAGTTGATTCAACTATATTTTTCCACCACAGTATATTAGCGCACTTCGACCGTGTGATCGTGCGCGTGCGTGAATGCGCGCGATCCTAATTAATTGAAAATAGCACAAACGAGCCGCGCGTGAACGGCTTTGTACAAACGGATCGCCAAAGGGGCGGCGTTCAAAGCGCGACGAGTGCGTATAAAATGTTAAGTCGAGTTCTCTGCTCGCTGATCGTATCAACGCTCGCAGGATTCGGGCGAATTTGTCGCCAGAGGCTCCTCGCGAGAAAGGAAATCGCCGTCTGTCGGCCGTCTCCTACGCTTTTAATTAACGTTAAAAATTGCTGCGTTACTCCCTCCCACGCGTGTGCGTGTGTTGGAAAGAAAACTACAATAATAAACTTTAATTAGAATCGCCTCGCGCGCGCGGAACTACGTAGCTGACGGATACGCACGCGCGCGCGCGCGCGCGCGCGTGTGTGTGTGTGTTTGTGCGTATTAGTGGAAGCTCCGCTATAAATATTACCGAAAGGTCACAGGTCGCGGGAAACGTCGACGGAGAAGCATCTTTCCTGCTAAATCGGAGCTCGCGGGCGCTGTCATTAATTATTT